TAGTATTGTTTTTCTTTTTTATCGTTATATAATTTAAGAATAATAGAACAAGTATAAACACTTTATAAAAGAGAAATGTTAATTACAAAGACTCTTATAAAAAGTCTTGTACAAAGTGATGTGACCATTACCACACTATTAATTTATGAGAGAAAAAAAATATTGATGTGAAACTAGTGATGTGATGCTCCCATATCACTTTGTAAGAGTCTTTGTACATCTAATTCCATATACAAAATTGTAAAAGAATCGAAGGTCTTGGCATTTCGTCTTTGAAGAAAATCCTAAGTTCATTGTAATTTTGTGTCTAGTTTACCCAGGTACATAATATACCGTAGTTTTTCTCATATTTTTTTTTTTTTAGAATTATTTTAAGTTGTAAGTTTTTAATTAAAGATAGGATAATTTACAATTCCTACTACCGACTAATTTATATATGGGTTCAGCTAGGAATTTAGTAGAGGAGAGGCAAACTTAAAATAAAACTAAAAAATATCAAAAAAACAATTAAGATTATTAAATTTATTATAATATTTTGAAAGTGATTTAAAATCAGAGTCAATAAATTTTTTATAGTTCCCAAAATTTGTTTTTAAAGCTTAAGATACACTTCAAATCCACGAGTCTCTGACTCCACTTCCAGTCTCGACTATCACTCGTATTTATATTAGTATCCATCCTCTTGTGTTTGGTATATGCTTTGATAGAATATATGTTAGTTACTTTCGTACAAAAGAAGCCGCCTAAAACAAAACACAGAATGCCAGAATGGTCTCTGTTGCAAACCAAATAATAAATCAAACACTAAACCAACAGGTATTAGCAATTCTTGATAGATGCAATCATCTAAACCATCTCAAACAACTCCAATCCTTTCTCATTACACTTGGCCACGCCCAAACCAACTTCTACAACTTCAAGCTGTTCGCTTCTGCACTCTCAACTCTCTAACTCACTTATGCTCGCTTCATTTTCGACCGTTCGTCTCTCCAAATATTTACCTTTACACTGCAATTCACCGCTTATGCCGCTCACTATGATCACACTTCATTATCAATTTCTGTACCGTGATAGGTTCGCAAAGGCCAGCCACTGCCTAACCAGTTTATATACCCTCATGTTTTGAAATCTTGTCCTGGGTTTTAGAGTCATGTGGGACTAAAATGGTTCATACCCAGATGTTAAATCGGGTTTTGAGCAACCCATGTGAAAACTGCTCTTGTTGATTCTTATTCAAGGTCGAGTAGTGATATTTCGGTAGCCAGGAAGCTGTTTGATGAAATGTTTGAGCGAAATATTGTGTCTTGGACTGCTATGATTTCTGGTTATACAAGAGTTTGGGATATTAAGAATGCTGTTTGCTTTTGAGGAGATGCCTGATCGAGATGTGCCTGTTGGAATTTGTTATGCTGGTTGCACGCAGAACGGGTTCTTTTCGGAGGCTATGGGTTTTTTAGGAAGATGGTGATGGAGAAGAGTGTAAATATTAGGCCTAATCAAGTTACGGTCGTGTGTGCTCTCTCAGCTTGTGGTCACACGGGAATGTTACAGCTTGGAAAATCGATTCATGTATGTTTATAGAAACGGGCTGGGTCCTGATTTGTTTATTTGGAACGCTTTGGTAGATATGTATGGGAAATGTGGGAGCTTAAAAGAGGCAAGAGAGGCTTTTGATGGAAGCGCGAAGAGAAGCTTGACTTCTTGGAACAATGATCAATTGTTTTGCTCTCCATGGCCAAAGTGAGAAGGCAATAAGTGTGTTTGAGGAGATGATACATTGTGGACGTTATGATGTGAGACCAGATGGGGTACACTTTATGGATTGTTGAATGCTTGTACACATGGAGGATTGGTTGAGAAGGGTCGTTCTTATTTTGAATTGTGACTAGGAATTATGGGATTGAGCTCGTTGAGCATTATGGATGCTTAATAGATCTTCTCGGTCGAGCAGGAAAGTTTGAAGAAGCCTTGGAAGTGTGAATGAAAGAAGATTGAACCTGATGAGGTTGTCTGGGGTTCATGCTTAATGGATGTAAAATATATGGTCGTATGGATTTGGCAGAATTTGCGGTGAAAAAGCTAATTGAAATTGATCCAAGCCATGGTGGTTATGGTATAATGTTGGCAAAATATAATGGAGAGCTAGGGAAGTGGGATGGTCGTAAGGTGAGGAAGATGTAAAAGAACGAAATGCTTATAAAACACCAGGTTGTAGTTGGATTGAGGTTGAAAAGGAAGTTCATCAGTTTCTTCTGTTGATAAACACATCCCAGAACAGAGGAGATATATGATATCTTGGAAAGTCTGAATTCTTTGGATTAGCCTGGAACGTGTAGAAATTTTCCATAATACTCTGGTAACACATTTCGTTGTGGAATAGTGAGGAAGAAGAAAATCCCTTTCAAATCATTCACAGTCCAAGACTTCTTCCACTTGTTTCTTCCAGTGAATATCAGGGTATCTAACACATGGTCACTGTCTTATTCATGGCATGACTAAACATTGGTTGCTTTACAAAAAGCATTACTCCATGTTTTAGACTGAAGACTCTCTCCAAAAAAGTCAGAAGAGGTGGTTGCAGATTGATTTTTACAATGGTAAGGGTGCGATCCTGTTAACTTCCTCCATAATTCGAGATTAAAATAACAGCCAGTTAAAATCTGGAGCATGGTCAATTGATTTGCTGTTGCAGGTTTGCAAAAATGCTTCTCTTGTAGGATTTTTTTCCCTGTATTGCTGCTTGAGATGAAACTGTTATCTGAAAATCTGCATTGTAACTTTTAATCAGGTTCTTTAGCAAATTTTATGATTCAATTTTAATTTATATCGATATCTTTGCTTTGTGGTGCTATTATTCTTGTTGACAAATTTGATGTTTCTTTATCAGTTCAAGTATTGAAGGTTTGGCTTGACATCAGTTTAAAATAATAAGGAGATTTTTCCTTGGTTATAATATAGGCAAGAAATGATACTGGAAGATTTAATGCATCATGTATTTCAGTTCGTTAGTTTTGTATGCATACAGTATGCTGGTAATCAGAAGAAGTTGCAGGAGCATATTTCATGGAGCAACCACAAGAAGCATTATTACTGTATCTTTATTCTGCGATTAATTGATTGCTGCTAAATGAAATCTGCTAATGATATTTAAGAAAGATATGCTTGATCTACCTGCCACTGCTTATTGACTGGAGTCATATGGGTACCAATCTGAAAGTTGAGGAATCTTCGACAAGTGATGAAAACTTCAGACAATAGATGGGCAAGGTTTAGGTCATAATCTACACAGTTTCTAGCGCACTGAGCCATGAGAATGCCAAGTGCAAGGGGTACTCATTCCTTAATGAAGGATCAATAACGCTCTGAGTTTCATTCTCATATGCCAGCTCCTTCAAGCACCCCTGTTGCAGCTTCCCTTCCGTATAAGAGCTCCAACATCATAACCCCAAGGGCAAAAATATCTAGTTTAGGGGTTAACACTCCATTCTTGCTCTACACGGGAGCCATATCGCCTGAGTACCAACTACATTCCATGTCAATTCAGCCCACTCTGGTCACATTGTCCACACTTCTTGCCAAGCTGGAATTAGAAATCTTGGCTCTGAAGTTGGCATCCAAGAGGATGTACTAGTCTTCAAGTTCTTCTGGATGTAAGGGGGAGTGGTGTATTTGTGGAGATAATTGCAGCGTTAGCGACATCATAAGCAATCTGAACTCGTTGATTCCATTGCAGAGTGATAGAAGTTTGGTGCTGTTTATAGTGGAGCAGTCACTGGGGTCCAAGAACCGGTCTGCCCAGAGGGCAGACAGTAGGCTTCCTGGAGTGCATAAATGGCAGTACCAAAGGGCCATTTGATGAATCAACAAGAAATAGCAAGAATTATCAATGAGTGATGCTAAGGGCTGATGTTTCATATTTCTTTAAAGCTTCAACTGTAGTTTATGTATACTTTTTGTTTGTGAATGAGAGGAGCGGGAGATATTATGACGCTCAGAATTCTGTGATGATTTGTTTGTACAATTTTAGAGATGGGGTTTGCTATTTATATGTGTTAAGGTTGATAGTTCTTGAATAATATTTTTTTTAAAACCACACATCAAAGATGGTTATTGATGAACCATAGTAGTTATTGTTGAAAGTAAAACTTCCACATTGGTAATAATACGTGGACTGCTAATTAGACAATTTCACCATGTAAACTATATATCAGGATTTCTCTTTACCTGAACTTTAGTCTTCAGTAAAATCCAGAAAATGATTGGTGGTTAACAAAACAAATCAAGAAATACTCAGTAATGTTGTAATTTATTTTGTGTGCTAAATCTGTTTTCGTCCCACTCTTATAAGGCTTAATATACAATGAAATCCATGAGTCTCTGACCCACTTCCAGGCTCGAGTCTCTCGACTATCACGAGTCTCAGCTACTTTCGTTACAAAAGAAGCCGCCAAAACAAAACAGAGAAGGCCAGAATGGTCTCTGTTGCAAACCAAATAAATGACACTAAGCCAACAGGTATTAACAATTCTTGAAAGATGCAATCATCTAAACCATCTCAAACAACTCCAATCCTTTCTCATTACAATTGGCCACGCCCAAACCCACTCCTACAACGTCAAGCTTGTTCGCTTGCACTCTCAAACTCTCTAACTCACTTATGCTCGCTTTATTTTCGACCGTCTGTCTCTCCAAATATCTACCTTTACACTGCAATGATCACCCGTTATGCCGCTCACCGATCACACTTCATTAGCCTTTTCTTTGTACCGTGATATGGTTCGCAAAGGCAGCCACTGCCTAACCAGTTTGTATACCCTCAAGTTTTGAAATCTTGTCCTGAGGTTTAGAGTCATGGGGACTAAAATGGTTTACCCAGATTGTTAAATCGGGTTTGAGCAATACCATATGTAAAAACTGCTCTTATTGATTCTTATTCAAGTCGAGTAGTGATATTTCCGTATCCAGGAAACTGTTGATGAAAATGTTTGAGGCAAATATTGTCTTGGACTGCTATGATTTCGGGTATACGAGAGTTGGGGATATTAAGAATGCTATTTTGCTCTTGAGGAGATGCCTGATCGAGATGTGCCTTGTTGGAATTCTGTTATTGCTGGTTGCACGCAGAACGGGTTCTTTTCGGAGGCTATTGGGTTTTTAGGAAGATGGTGATGGAGAATAGTGTATTTATTAGGCCTAATGTAGGTACAGTCGTGGTGCTCTCTCAGCTTGTGGTCACACGGATGTGCAGTTGGAAAATCGATTCATGCTTATGTTATAGAAAAGGGCTGGTCCTAATTGTTGATTGGAACGCTTTGGTAGATATGTATGGGAAATGTGGGAGCTTAAAAGAGGCAAGAAGGGTTTTTGATGGAAGCACGAAGAGAAACTTGACTTCTTGGAATTCAATGATCAATTGTTTTGCCCTCCATGGCCAAAGTGAGAAGGCAATAAGTGTGTTTGAGGAGATGATACATTGTGGACGTTATGATGTGAGACCAGATGGGGTTACATTTATTGGATTGTTGAAAGCTTGTACACATGGAGGATTGTTTGACAAGGGTTGTGCTTATTTTGAATTGATGACTAGGAATTATGGGATTGAGCCTTGGATTGAGCATTATGGATGCTTGATAGATCTTCTTGGTCGAGCAGGAAAGTTTGAAGAAGCCTTGGAAGTTGTGAATGAAATGAAGATTGAACCTGATGAGGTTGTCTGGGGTTCATTGCTTAATGGATGTAAACTACATGGTCGTACGGATTTGGCAGAATTTGCAGTGAAAAAGCTAATTGAAATTGATCCAAGCAATGCTAGGTATAGTATAATGTTGGCAAATATGTATGGAGAGCTAGGGGAGTGGGATGAGGTCCATAAGGTTAGGAAGATGTTAAAAGAACGAAATGCTTATAAAGCACCAGGTTGTAGTTGGATTGAGGTTGAAAAGAAAGTTCATCAGTTCTATTCTGTTGATAAATCACATCCCAGAACAGAGGAGATATATGATATCTTGGAAAGTCTGAATTGTTTGGTTTAGCCTGGAACTTATAGGACTCTGATTACACATTTTCGTTGTGGAAGTTGAAGACTATTTCCAAAAACAGTCAGAAGAGCATGGTTTCACATTGATTTCTACAATGGTAAGGGTGCGTATGCTGTTAACTACATCTCATAATTATGGAGTCATATGGGTCCCAATCTGAAGTTGATATAATCTTCGACAAAGTGATGAAAACTTCAGACATAGATGGGTGAGCATTGAGATCATAATCTACAGAGTCATAGGGAGGGTTTGATCTGAAAGTGAGATAAGATTGACAAGATGACTCTGCTCCATTGCAAACAAATCCTCTGGCTTTGAAGCAGTCAAGTATGTTTCCGTTGTAAGTTCGTTGCCCTTGTATTACTATAATCAATTGAAGAACCAACAAGGTTGATAATTTGCGCATAAACATCCAAAGAAAAAATATTTCCATGGCAACGCACTAAATTAACTCACATTTTGTCTTTATACAAACACATCAATAAGATAGGGTACTTTAGAAGGGCCTGAAATTATTATTGAGTGTCCTCTGCTTATAAAAAATATTGACCCGTAACTCAAGAGCTTGAAGAATTCAGACCATTTTTTTCATTGACAAAGACAAATACTAATTTGTAGTAATTACATTGTTGGGAACATTCAATACAAGCAAATGCAAATAAACGCACGAAAACATCTCACCTTATATATATATATATATATAGAAACTCATTATATCGTAAGTCTCTGTTTGTTTTTCCTAGTTGTTTTCATGTTGTGAAGGGGACTTTAAGGACTAGTAAATGGTCAAAAGTCCTTGATTTTAAACAAAAAATCCATACAACTGGCACTTGTTTAACATTAACAGGTGCCTGTGGAAAAAATGAGCAGAATAACCTAGTCCTGTACTAATTTATGAAGTGAAAATCTCTAATTTTTTTATGTTTGTATTGTAAATTTAGGTGCCACATCTAGTACAACTGAAATTACCTACATGTCAAGACAACATGAATTTTCAACCCATTTATGCGTAATATCAGATTTCAGTAGCTGCATTAAGTCAGAAGAATGTACTGATTTGGTGTTCTTTGCGAAAGGTTTTGGTTTCCTTGCTATTTGTGAGACAGGGAATTTGATAAGGAAAATTTTATTACATTATGAAATTTTTTAACAATACATTACATATTGCATCATCCACACAACAAAACAAAGCTCAAATACACGCATTAGAAACCTTATTCTCCAATAAACAAGTGAGACACTGACACCCAAATGCTCTCTCTTCACCCGTATTTGAAAATTTCTGAAGAAAAACCTCTAAAGCTCTTGCTTGGCTTCACTCTTGAGTTTGGCAGGTTCACCCTCTCCTCCAGCAATGCTGACAGTCCTAGGACCTTTAATTTTATCAGGAGACAGCTTTGCCAAGGACAATGTCAACACACCATTCTCAAGCTTAGCCTGAACTGAATCCAAATCCACGTTGTCAGGCAACTTAAACTGCCTCCAAAATTTGCCATAGGATCTCTCCACTCTGTGCCAATGATCACCCTTCTTCTCCTCCTCTTTCTTCCTCTCTCCACTAACTCTCAAGACCCGGTCCTCCTCCACTTCAATCTTCAGCTCCTCCTTCTTCAATCCTGGAACATCCAGCATTATCACATGACCTTCTGGTGTTTCCTTCCAGTCTACTCTGGCTGGTGAGAGTGCCGTGTTCTCATCCCTGTCAATCCCAAATGGGATTTGTTCCAGCATCCGAAACGGGTCCGGAAACCGGTCTGCCCAGAGATCAGACAGTAGGCTTCCTGGAGTGTCCGTAAATGGCAGTAGCAAAGAGCCATTTGATGAATCAACCAGACATAGCAAAGATATTATCAGTGAGCAGATGACTAACGGCTGTTGCCTCATCTTTCTCTTAAAGCTTCAAGTGTGGTTTTTGTATAGTTTTTGTTTGTGAATGAGAGGGGCTTGGAAGATATTTTGACACTCAGATATTCAGATGATTTGTTTGTACAATTTTAGAGTTGGGGTTTGCTATTTATATGAGTTAAGGTTGATGGTTGTTGAAATGATAGATTGGTGTGGATAAATGGAGAAGTTTCCAGGGAGTTTTACGTGTTAATGAGGTGGAAATATGGGCTAAATGTGAAGAGGTTGCAAGACTCTTCTTACAAGTTCCAGAGACTTCAAGGATCTTGCTCATGCATTTTCTTTCATTTTACTTGACAGGTTTGTCCTTTAATATTCCGTCAATTTGTATTTGATTTAATCTCAAACAATGCCGTGTTGGGCACCAGAACTTATGTATTTTTAAATTGAGTAAACGACTTTTCCACACCCAAGGTTTACCTTAATGATATTTTCTCACCTAAAAATTTTTAAAATATCACTTTTTCACCTAAAATTAATATTCTACTACTACTCAAAATCGATTTTGACAACTAAAATTATCTCCTTCACCACCATTTAAAACTCCAATCCCTTCTCTACAAAATCCCTCTTACTCTAATACCTTATTTCTTACCGATTACCAACCACTGTAGAGTTAGAGTTTCCTATTCTTAACTGATTTTTAGCTACGAATATTCAAACAATCACCTCTATTTGAATCATCGACTTCTACTCTATAAAACATCTCTTATTCTGACTTTTGATAACTCATGAGACGTCAGATTAGAAAGTAAAGTGTATTTTGGATATTAAAACGGAATATAAATTTTGGGTGAGAAAATAATATTTTAAAACTTTTTGAGTAAAAAAGTGTCATTAAGGCAAACCTTGGTGGGAAAAAGTCGTTTGCTCTTTTAAATAATATCTCATGATTTTTATTTATATATTTGTGTAAAACTTTATTTTAAACTATTTGAGATAACAAGTGAAGATATTTAACTTCTTTTAGTATTTATTTATATATTGGGCTAGATATATGCTAGCTCACCTTTAGTAAATAGTAATCGAATTGAGAATGGATATAGTGGCCCGTGGCCGAAGGGTGATAACAAGAATTATACCGGCCTAATCTTTTAAGAGACCAAATGCGACTTCGAAGGTAGGCCCAACATAACTAGCACAATGAAGAATGGATGGTATTGGGTAAACTAAAGTCATATTCTGCTAGTATTATTATCAAACAAGTTAATAAACAGAAAAATGGTCAAAAAGTTTGGCAGTCGGTGCATTGAAGAAAAACACCACAAAGCCTGTGTATGGGGATGGGCAGGCCATATCACTGACAAAGCAGGAGAACCCAATTGACTTTTTATTACATTTCTCAAAGTGGTCCCATTAATTCTTCACAATTCAGCACTTTCAATCTATCCTATTAGTGAATGTGATGCAAGTTGCCGCCATGGCATGCATGCTGCTTGATAACTGCATCATGGACAGCCTGGTAAAAGACAAATGAGAGAGTAGAATAATACATAATTCTCGTCATTCTCTCAAGTCTCAATTCCACTTGAAGAGGTGGATAACGATATTACAAACTAACTCCTAAAATATGGAGAAGATATGATTTGATTTCATATGTACTTGTTATTGGGTCCCAAAAAATCTACCATAGATATTACACCATAATAAATTACAGAACAAAACTAAGAGAATGCAATGGGAATTGGTTGACGTTTTTCTATATTACCTTGGTAAAAGAAAAATACACATATATATACAAAAGAGAGAGTAAAGCCTTTGCTAATTACAAGCCTATTATAAAGGGATCCTATATCAAAGAGATATTTCCTAAAGTAAAAAAGTCAACAAATAAATGAAATAAATGCATATGATCTTGTGATATTATGATTCGTAATACTCCCCCTCAAGTTGGAGAGTGAATATCATGAAGTCCCAACTTGTTACGTAACGTCACAAATTGGTCCTTTCCTAAAGCTTTTGTAAACACATCCGCCAATTGTAAGCGTGTGGGTACGTATGAAGGACTAATCATTCCGGCTTGTAGTTTCTCTCGAACAATGTGGCAGTCTATCTCAATGTGCTTTGTACGTTCATGGAAAACAGGATTTGCTGCAATGTATAAGGCTGCCTGGTTGTCACAAAATAAAGGTGTAGGAGTTGGTTGTGCAACCTTTAAATCTTGTAGTATGTAATGTAACCATGTCAACTCCAAACATGTGTTTGCCATGGCTCAGTATTCTGCTTCTACAGATGATCTAGAGACATTGGCTTGTTTCTTGGATTTCCATGAGATGAGAGAATTTCCAAGAAAAATGCAATATCCTGTAACTGATCTTCTTGTGGTACAACACCCTCCCCAGTCTGAATCGCAAAATGCCTTAAGAGTAAGACTGTTTGTAGAAGAAAATAGTAAACCTTGACCAGGATGACCCTTGATGTATCTGAGAATCCGTAAAGCTGCATCCCAATGTGGCTTTCTAGGTTCATGCATGAATTGACTCAATGTGCGAACAAAGTATACTATGTCAGGCCTTGTCACAGTAAGATAAATCAATCTACCAACCAACCTTCTATACTTAGTTGGATCACTTAATAAAACTCCATCTGTAGGAGTAAGCTTCAAATTTTGCTCCATCGGAAACTTGTCTGGACATGCACCAAGAAGTCCTGAATCTTGTAAAATGTCTACTACATATTTCCTTTGAGACATGAAAATTCCCTTTTTTGATCGAGAAAATTCAATGCCTAGAAAATATTTTAAGTCACCGAGATCTTTCATGCGAAAGTGTTTGAAGAGAAACTTCTTGAGATGTTCCATTTCTTGAAGATCATTGCCTGTAATGAGTATATCGTCAACATAAATAAGGACTGCAGTAAAAGAAGTACCTCTATCTTTGGTGAAAAGGGAATAATCGGCTTTTGACTGTTGATAACCAGCTTTCTGAATGGCAGTGGAAAATGTAGAAAACCAGTTTCTTGATGCTTGTTTGAGACCATAGAGGGATTTATTAAGCCGACATACAAGGTTCTCCCCCTGTCGGCGAAGACCAGGTGGAGGTTCCATGTATACTTCCTCTTGTAAATCACCATGAAGAAAAGCATTTTGGACATCTAATTGATGAATGAACCAGTGACGTGCGGAAGCAACAGCAAGAAGGCAACGGAGTGTAGTGAGCTTGGCTGTGGGAGAGAAGGTTTCATGGTAATCAATACCTTCAACTTGAGTATATCCCTTAGCAACAAGGCGAGCTTTATGACGCTCAATAGTGCCATCAGATCAATATTTGATTTTGTAGACCCACTTGCAGCCAATGGGTTTATGACCAACAGGTAGAGGAACCATACTCCAGGTGTTATTCTGTTCTAATACTATTAATTCAGCTTTCATCGCATTTTGCCAATGTGGATCAAGGATAGTTTGACCATAAGAGTGAGGTTCGGTATAACCTGTAATGTTAGCTAGAAAGGTACAGTGGGCAGAAGATAAACGAGAATATGAAAGAAAATGAGAAAGAGGATATCGAGTACCTGATGCTGAACTTGGTGTCGAGGTTGAATGATTGGCTTGAGCAGACAAAATGTAGTCTTTGTGCCATGTCGGAGGTTGCTTTGGACGAGTGGATTGACGTATAGGGGGATTAGGGAAAGCTAGTGAGTCTGTATGTGACGTAGGGGAAAGGTTAGGCGTATTGGAAGAAGGGGTTGTTTCTGGTGAAGTTTCAGTCAACCGAGATTGTAAATGCTCAGAATCTATCCCTTGAGTGTCGTTGTTTTCTGTTAAGGGAATATGAGCATGACGAGGACTTGGCGGTTCATCATGAAGAGATGATGAAGGGAAAGGTGAAGTGTCTAGGTTAGAATCATAAGGGAAAAGCAAGTTGTTTGTGGCATCATGCGAAAAATTTGGTAAAACAAAACCAGAATCAAGTTGAGAAGAAACCGAAGGAAATGTGGTTTTGCAAAATTTGACATCTCGACTAACAAAAAAATTTTGTGTCTCTAAATCATAAAGTTTGTAACCCTTTTGACCAGTGGGGTACCCAATAAAAATGCATTGTTTAGCACGTGGTTCAAATTTATGAATGGGATGAACAACAGTTGCATAACATAAACAGCCAAAAACTTTCAAATGATTGAGTGGTGGTGGACGATTGTATAAAAGTTCAAAAGGTGATTTGTTGGATAGCAATGGTGTAGGGAGTCGATTAATGAGATATACAACTGTCAATATGCATTCACCCCAAAAAATAAGAGGAAGTCGAGATTGAAAAAGCAAAGCACGTGCAACAGTTAGAATATGACGATGCTTTCGTTCAACTACTCCATTTTGTTGTGGAGTATAGACACAAGTACACTGATAATCTATACCATGTAATTGAAAATAATTTCGCATGGATAGAAATTCAGAGCCATTATCTACTCGGATGGCTTTAACGGAAGCATGAAATTGAGTGTGAACAAAGGTAAAGAAGGATTGTAAAATATTTTGAGTTTCTGATTTAAATTGCATGAGAAATACCCGTGTGCACCTTGTAAAATCATCCACAATAGTAAGAAAGAAACGTGCCCCTGAATGTGTAGAATTTTTGTGAGGACCCCAAATATCACAATGCAATAAATCAAATGGAGCATGAGTTGATATAAAACTGGAAGGAAATGGTAATCTAGTTTGTTTAGCCATAGGACAAACATTGCAATTATTATCAAAGGAAACTTTATTATTGGAAGACAATAACGATGATACTAATTTTAGTCGAGATGGAGACGGATGTCCAAGACGCATGTGCCATAGGTTGGAAGGTTGAGAAACTTGATGAGAGGTAGGTGTCATTCGCAACGGAGACATATAATAAAGACCACCATGTTGTTTACCCGAGCCAATCATCTTCCCCGTAGCCAAGTCCTGCAAGACACAAAAAGTGGGAAAAAGAATGGCACAACAATTTAGGGCAGTGGTGATTTTACTAACAGACATCAAATTTAAATGAAAGGATGGGACACACAAAACTTTATTTAACGTGATATTAGAGTTAAATGGTATAGTTCCTGTAGACGTTATAGAGGCTGAAGATCCGGTGGGTAATTTTACAATTGGTGTTGGTGATATGTCTGTGTGGGTGAAAAGAGTGGAATCTGTGGTAATATGGTCTATCGCTCCGCTTTCCAATATCCAAGGCTTAGTGAAAACAGAATTAATAGCATTAGAAGAAGATAACAGACTTGCAGCATTTGCATATGCGTTATCATTACCGGTGGTGTGATTTGGTGTCATTTGAGACAAAGCACGAGAAAGTTGTTGCAATTGATCAACAGTAAATCCATGTGTTGCGTTCAGTGAGTTATTGTCTTCAGAATTAACTCCACGCATAGATTGCGGAGACTCTGTTGCATTGGCAGCATGAAAAGGATGGGATCCATGTTGTTGAAATTGATAGTTTCGATTCCTTGGAGTTGCTGAGTTGTGGGAATTCCAAGTGCCATTTTTGAATTTGCACCTATCTTCAGTGTGACCTTTCTTATCGCAAAATTTGCAATGAAATTTCAGAGTGCGACAGTTGTCAATTGTATGGCCATCCCTTTTGCAATGCTCACAATGTTTGTCTTTGGGCTTGCGGGAATAACTGCTCTGGCAGCTTTGAGTTGCTGCTGCAATGGAAAAGTTCTCTGTACTTTCTGATGTCATTTTTTGCTGTGTTTCTTCTTGAATAACAAGGGAGTGTGCTTGACGCACATTGGGCAGCGGCGACATCATGAGGATGTTGCTACGAACAGTGCTATAGGCATCGTTGAGACCCATGAGAAATTGCATCATTTGATCTTCTTCTCTTTGCTTAATATGTGCTTTAAATTGATCACAATGAGGGATGGTTCGATATGAGTCTAGCTCATCCCATAAGCCTTTAAGCTTTGTGTAATATGAGGATACAGACATGTTACCTTGTGAGAATGATGCTAATGATTTCTGAAGCTGATAGATGGCTGGTGCATTTTTTTTGTGAAAACTGATCTTTGAAATCTTCCCATACTTGATGAGCTGTCTTCGCGTGAATGACCCCTTTGGCTAAATCTGGTTCTACTGAGTGAGTGAGCCATTATAAAATCATGCTATTGCACTGATTCCAAAGAGCAAACTCAGTTGGCTGTTCTGTCTCTGATGGAGGCTTGACAGAACCATTGATAAAACCAATTTTGTTCTTGGCTGTCAGGGCATGGATCATGGATTTACTCCATGATTGATAGTTGGTGCTATTCAATTTTGTTGGGACAAGCATGAGGCCAGGATGATCTGAATGATGAACAAAGAATGGATTTGATGGGTCTATATTTGAATGGCTGTTACTGGAGTTTGAGTGTTTGGAATGGGACTGATCTTCTTTGGAATGGGACTGATCTTCTTTGGACATTGGAATTGCTATTGCTGGAGTTCAAGCGTTGCTGGAGTTTGGTATTTGGAATGGAAATTGTGTTTAAAAAAAAAACTTTAAAGAAAAAGCTGCTCTGATACCATAATAAATTACAGAACAAAACTAAGAGAATGCAATGGGAATTGGTTGACGTTTTTCTATATTACCTTGGTAAAAGAAAAATACACATATATATACAAAAGAGAGAGTAAAGCCTTTGCTAATTACAAGCCTATTATAAAGGGATCCTATATCAAAGAGATATTTCCTAAAGTAAAAAAGTCAACAAATAAATGAAATAAATGCATATGATCTTGTGATATTATGATTCGTAATACACCACTCCATACTCTGTAGTTGGATGTGGCAAGTGATGGAACAATTGAACTTCATATGATTTGTCCTATTTATTAACACTTGGACACTATTGTCTTCTTTCTTTATATTATTTTAATTTTAACATAAATTTGGCTTCTCGAAACCTGAAGTGTTAATATATACAAACAGCTAGGGTCTTGGAGACATGGAGTCTCACTAGCCAGCTAGCCAGTTTTCCTCCCGCAGTGCATAAGTTCACTTATCATTAGAAAGCTGGATCATTGCAAAGACTTCTTTCTTTATATTATTTCTTCACAATATCCTCACCTATTAAAGGCTATTGGTCCAGTGATCCAACAGTACCACATGCTATGCTCTTTAATGAGCTTCATTCTGTTCTGATATTCTTGTGATCTTCATTACTTAATGCCTTGAATACCATTAGTTTTCTTGCATGCATGTACTGAAAGCCATGTATAAATGTAGCTTCAAGCTTGGATCTTAGCCATAGATACATGTAGCTGAAGAAGAGACATATCGATGAAGTTACAGTGTGAGGTTTGTGACAAGGCAGAGGCAGAGGTGCTGTGTTGTGCAGATGAAGCTGTATTATGTCGACGATGCGATGAGAAGGTGCATGCAGCGAACAAGCTATCCAGAAAACATCCGCGCGTCTCTCTCCTTAAACATCCACCTGCTTACTCCTCTTCCTCCTTTTCTCAGCTTCCTTTATGCGATATCTGCCAGGTAACTGCAGATTAACTTGTTCTCAATTACTTTTGTTGTCAAACCTTCGCTCACTGTTAACATATTATGAATTTTCTATTAACCACCTAAAACAGTGGGGTTGAAGCTCATTCCTCTTGATTGGATCCCATTTTTTAGCATTGGAAATAAAAGGTACTCTTCATTTATTCCTAATGATGAAATCATAGGTTTAAATCAAGAGGACACACTCTGAGTCCCACTATTTGAGGTGGGCAAAAGACAAATTCGAATTCAATATATTGACAATGGGTCTGGGTGTTAGTTTACAACGACTCTTTAATTGTATATTTGCAGCTAATTAAATAAGCATGATGCAGGAGAGGAACGGTTATTTCTTCTGCTTGGAGGACAGGGCAATACTCTGCAGAAACTGTGACATTTCAATCCACAATACGGCAAGTTCGATTGTGTCTTCCCATCAGCGGTTTCTCATTGGAGGCATCAAAGTTGCCCTTGAATCCACAACCACTGAAAATCCAGGTTTTAAGGAAGGAATTGATTACCAGAGGTTGACATTTTCAGGTGTTGAGGGTAACTTGGGAGAAACTGCAGGCACATCAAGTGAAACTGATCATTTGGCAAGCGCAGCCTCAGCCTCAGCTTCAGCTTCAGCTTCTTGGCCATTGGATGACATCCTTAGCACTAATGAGTTTTGCTACTATGACTTTTCAGATATGGAGTCATCTAGAATTACTGACCCCTGAAATTTCGTAATAATTAATTGTAGTAACTGACTTGAGTAATAAATTCTAATTTCTAATAAGTTCGTTTATTTATTAACACATGAAAAGACTTTTTAAAGATCACCGAATAATAAGTCTATTTGGTATCAATGAGAGCTTATCAATGGAGGAAAGTTGAATATTCCATTTCAGTATATTTTCCTGCTATACAGGGGAGAAAAATCGAGCATATATATAGAGCCTCTGTAACAAACTAACAACCCAACCTATCATATTGTGCCAGCTAATAAACATGTGCTAAAATGAATGAAACAATAACAAAAAATATATACAACAACTAAAATGCAAAAAACTGATTACAAAACGACTTGCAGCTTTAAACTTGGCCTGTATCTGTTAACATCCCCCCGCAAGATGGAGAATAGAAATTTACTATTCCCATCTAGGATAAGTGTGCTTGAAGAAGGTAGGATGGTAGAACTTTGGTGAATGTATTAGCCAACTGTGCTTGAGAGGAAACATGAGCTGTTGTGAGACTTCCTTCCTGAATTTTGTAGCGGATCAAGTGACAATCAAGCTCTATATGCTTGGTTCTCTCATGAAATACCGGATTGGTGGCTATGTGAAGGGTTGCCTAGTTGTTACAGTAGAGAATGGAAGCCTGTGGATGAGAAATATCAAGATCATGGAGAAGATATCGAAGCCAAGTAAGTTCTTAACAAGTAATGGCCATAGAGCGATACTCGGCTTCAACAGATGATCTGGAGACAACCGTTTGCTTCTTAGACTTCCAAGAAATAAGTGATTGACCCAAGAAAACACAATATCCTGTTGTAGACCGACAGGAATCCGGGCAAAAGACCCAATCCGAATCACAAAAAGCTGTAAGTTGAAGCTGAGATGAGGATGGCAGCAAAAGACCTTGAGCAGGTGTATTTTTAATATACCGCAAGATACGGTAGGCTACTGCCAGGTGGGAGGAAAAAGGTTGATCCATAAATTGGCTTAATAATTGGACAGCAAAGCAAATATCTGGGTGGGTTATTGTGAGGTACAATAACCTACCAATTAACCTTCGAAAAATACTTGGATCAGAAAGTGCAGTCCCTTCAGATTTGCTGATTTTGAAGTGTTGATCCGTAGGAAGTCTAAAGGGTTTGTATTCAAGCATACTCGAATCTGCCAAAATGTCTAAGGCATATTTCCTTTGACATATATGAATACCTTTGGAAGATCTAGCAATTTCCAAGCCCAAGAAATAACAAAGACAGCCAAGATCTTTAATCTTGAACTTGCTATTCAAAAAATTCCATTGAGAAGCAATGGAATCATTGGAATTGGTAGCAACTAGAAAATCATCAACATAAATGAGCAAAGTAGTAAAATTGTCCCCTTCATGCTTGGTGAATAAGCTATAATCAGACTTTGATTGGATGAAGACGAAAGCAATAAGATAAGAGGCGAGTTTAAAGTTCCATTGTCTTGAAGCTTGCTTTAGGCCATAAAGGCTTTTAAGCAATTTGCAAACTTGAGTTGGTTTACCCTTGGTGTGACCTGGGGGTTTCTTCATGTAAATTTCTTCATGTAAATCACCATTAAGAAATACATTATTTACATCAAATTGATGTAAATACCATCCTTTGATGGCAGCAACACTAAGAAGGCATCTAACAGTGACAAGTTTGGCAACAGGTGAGAAAGTTTCAGTATAATCTATGCCTTCTTATTAGGTATAGTCTTTAGCTACAAGTCTAGCCTTAAGTCTTTAAACAAAACCATCATACTTAAATTTAATGTGATAGACATACTTACAATCGATTACTTCTTTCCCTTTAGGCAAATCAGTGATGGTCCAAGTTTTCCAAAGCTTAAATTTCAGCATCCATAGCTTTGCACCACTCAGGATCTTTAATTGCTTGTTTATATAAGGTGGGCTTGGTTTGAATGGAAATGGATGATGAAAATGCTTGAAAAGAGGAATTAAAATAAGATAAGCAGTCAGAGAGAGAAAAATATTTACCATTTAATTGAGGAGCTACAGTGGAAGCTGATTGCTGAGGTTAGGCAAGGCTGACTTGTTTGCAGTGGAAGTCCTTCAGATATTAAGGAGCAGTCTTGTTCCTAGTAGACTTGCGAAGTGTAAGGGCAGCAGGAAGAGGAATGATGGAATTAGATGGTGGAGAAGTGGGAGAAAGAGATGATGTATTACGACAATCAGCGGAAACAGCAGGAGGGTTAAGGGATGAAGGAGAAAGAGATATGGGATTTAGAAAACTAAAAGGAGGTGCAAATGGAAAAGAGAAAATATGGAGAGATAGGGCTGTGGAAGAAGGAGAGAGAGGTGTTTAGGAAAAAAAAAATTCATGAAAAATATGTAACGGATAGCATGGTGGGCCCCACTACTACCCGACCACACTGACCATATCGCAGTTACGTACCTCGATGTGGGCATTACAAAATAACATCCCTTGAAATGAAAATGGTGTTAGTTTTGAGATCCAAAAGCCTGTAGCCTTTAGCTCCAAAAGGGTAGCCAAGAAATGCACATGCACGACCTCTAGGGTCAAATTTTGTTCTAGTATGAGCAAGTGTGGCAGCAAAGCAAAGGGAACCAAATATTCTCATGTGAGCATACTCGGGTTTTTTATTAAAAAGGAGTTCATAAGTTGTTTTGTTGTTGAGAAGGGGTGATGGAAGCCTATTGATGATATATGTGGCTGTAAGGATGAATTCATTCCAGTAAGTTAAGGGAAGACCAGCTTGAAAAAGAAGGGCACGAGCCACATTTAGTAAGCGTTGGTGCTTCCTCTCAACAATGCCATTTTGTTGAAGGGTTGCAACACAACTTTTGTGATGGATAATGCATTTTTTATTAAAAAAATTCATGCATGTTAAATTCAACACCATTATCACTTCTCAGAACTTTAATTTTCATTTGGAATTGTGTCTCAACAAGATTGTAAAAGGTTGTAATGCATGTTTGGTTTCGGATTTGGCAGCAAGCAAGTAAATCCAGGTAGTTCTAGAAAAGTCATCAACAATGGTCAAGAAGTACTTTGAGCCATCATGTGCAATTGTGGAGCAAGGACCCCATAGCTCACAATGAATGAGCTCAAAGATTCTTGATGAAGAATGTGTACTGTTAGGAAAAGATCAACGATGAAACTTTGCTAATGGGCAAAGTTTGCAAGACTTTTCATTAATAGATGAAACTCCCTTGTGTACAAGCGGATCTGAAATTAACTGTAATCTAGGAAATGATAAATGGCCTAGGGGACAATGCCATAGGTTAGTATTTGAAACAGAGTTTGTAAGGGAAGTAAAACAAGTAAACTTGGTACGGCTGCTGTATGAGTGTGCCGAGAGAAAAGTAGACAAAGCTGAGGGAAGAACTTCCTTGCAAATGAAATGGTACAAGCCATGCTTGAGCTCACCTTTGCCAATCGTTATCCATGAATGCAGGTCCTGAATAAAACAGTGAGTGAAAAAGAAGAGCAAACAACAATTAAAGATAGAGATTAGTTTGTTTGATGAAATAAGATTGAAAGAAAATGATGGCACACAGAGGACATCATGCAAAATGTTGGAATTCGTTAAGTGAATTGTTCCAATGTGTGTGACAAGGGTGGAATGACCATTAGGTAGTTTCAAAAAATAAGAAACAGTAGATGTAATAGTGGTGAAAAGTGTGGTGTTGCAGACCATATGGTCTGTAGCACCTGTGCCAAGGATCCAAGCAATGGATGATGTATGTGGTGAGCAGTGTGTGTGAGTAGACAAAGAGGTGGAAGTACCAGACATTTGGGAAGATGATACTGGGTAAAGGGAGGGTTGAGGTGGATTGTTGGAGTGGACAGCGGAAGCTACAATTGGTAAATCCTGAGGTCTGAGCAAGGCCATCAGTTGCTGATATTGTTGCTTAGTGAAACCAAACTTGGCATCATTGTTGTCCTCAGAGTCATTGGCAAACGAAAAGGATGTCTGATTTGCAAGGAAACCATATTGCTACTACTGCTTGGTATGATATTTGTGGCCAGGTAGATATCCATTGAGTTTGTAGCATTTCTCAATGGTATGACCAGTCATGTTGCAATGTGAGCAAAGAGGGGGCTTAGCATTACCAGCTTTGAAACAAGTATCGAAAGTGTGACCAGTTATTTTACAGTGGCTGCAATAGGGACGATCCTTTTTTTTAGGGTGGTTTGGTTTAGGTGAGGGTTTGGAAGGGGTGTAGGGTTGCTGGATTGCCATGGCCATAGTTTTGGGGGATGGTATTTTTCATGGAGTGTGGGAGGTCATTTGATGGTGTCTTTCTTGCTATTGGACGAGGGAAAACACTTTGGGATCTAAAATCATAATCTAGTCTCGGATGGGGGAGTAAGAGTCGTTGAGACCCTTCAAAAATTGCAACACACAATCTCTTTGATATCGATCCAGTAAGGTTTTCATAGTACAATTACAAGAAGGTATGGGATCATACACAGAAAGTTCATCCCAGATAGCTTTTAACTTGCCATAGTAAATGCTTACCGGATCGCATTCTTGAAGCAGAGCAGGCAACGCCTTCTTGAGTTGGTAAATACGGGGAGCATTTTGGTGCGAAGATCGTTCCTGAAGATTCTACCAGATTTCCCAAGCATCATTAACAAAGAGAACACTGGATTGGAGAGAAGAGCTTATAGAGTTTTGGAACCGAGAAATGACCATGTCGTTACAGCGCTCCCAAAGCTCAAGCAATGGATCGTTGGGTTTAGACGGTTTGGTGATGGATCCGGTGATAAAACCCAGTTTATTTTTTGCGCGGAGTGCACGATGCATTGAGCGAGACCAAGTGGTGTAGTTGTCAGTGGTGAGGAGATTTGCAACGAGGGTAAGGGTTGGGATGTCGCCATGGTCAAGTCGATAGGGGTTCGCCGAATCAAGCATATTAAGGTATGGAGATGGGGTTTTTGATTCTAGGTCAGAGTGAGAATCAGAAGAATTGGAATCAGAGGTTGCCATTGAAGATGCTCTCGAAGGTTCTGATACCATGTTAGAAGAGCAACCAAAAACTCAGAGAGCTTATCAATGGAGGAAAGTTGAATATTCCATTTCAGTATATTTTCCTGCTATACAGGGGAGAAAAATCGAGCATATATACAAAGCCTCTATAACAAACTAACAACCCAACCTATCATATTGTGCCAGCTAATAGACGTGTGCTAACAACCCAACCTATCATATTGTGCCAGCTAATAGACGTGTGCTAAAATGAATGAAAGAATAACAAAAAAATATATACAACTAAAATGTAAAAAACTGATTACAAAACGACTTGCAGCTTTAAACTTGGCCTGCATTGTTAACAGGATTGCCTAGTGGACATTACTTTATCACCTAATTCTATGGACCCCGAATATGATTCGCTTCTCAATTCTCATTACTTTTGACAAATGACAAAAAAAGTCGTCCTCATTACATTATTGCTTTTCATATTGGTTTCATGTTTACTCATGGAGGGTTTCTGATTTCCCCATAATCTCAGTTGCTAGTTTTCTAATTAAAGTTGTGTACTGCACCCAAAAAATTCTGTAAGAACATGGCCGCTTCCTCTTCTGCACCCTCTAACAGTAATGGTGAATGGAAGTATGATGTATTCCTCAGCTTTAGAGGTGAAGACACTCGCAATAATTTTACGAGCCATCTTTATGCCGCTTTGTCTCGGAGAAAAATCGAAACCTTCATAGATTATGAGCTTAGGAGAGGAGATGAAATCTCTCCTGCACTCTTAAAAGCAATCGAAGAGTCTAGCCTTTCGATAGTAATTCTCTCCGAAAACTATGCTTCTTCTTCTTGGTGTTTGGATGAACTTGAGAAGATAATTGAATGCAAGAACAAAAAGGGACAGATCATTGTACCAGTTTTTTATCATGTTATTCCTTCTGATGTAAGGAAACAAACTGGGAGCTATGCAAAAGCATTTGCTAAACATGAAAAACAATTGAAGAAAACAAAAGAGAAGGTGAAAAGTTGGAGGGCAACTTTGACACAGGTGGCCAATCTATCCGGTTGGCATATACAGCAGCATGATGGGTAACTCTAATTAATTTTGTTCTCTCTTATTCTTGTATTTCTAGCCATGCTTACCTTTGTTTTGGGTTTTTACTTTGCCATCTTGAGGTCAACAGGACATCAAGATCTGATTTTTTATTCTGTCATTTCAATTAAATGAAATTGATTGAGTTCAAGGATTGTGTCCTATGCATGCCAATAGTAAGATGAGTACAGCTTGAAGAGGTTTTCTGTATGCATGCAATTGGAAGAAAGTTTTGAATTGCAAATTTTTTCTAGTCATAATTGGGTTTTTGTGGTTGGAGTAATTTCTCTTACTCTGTAAACTTCTTGGTTACTTATGACCTTGTTGCGATTGTTACTGTCCATTGCATATTTTGACTGAACTAATCTCTTGCTAAGTTCTTGAGTAGTAATACCATCGATTTATATTTGTTATCAAGTAATTTGATGCTGTAGTAGTGTCAAGCAACCTGCAATATGGTTCTTTATCTCTTCACTTTTTCATTCCAAAGTGTTCTTCATATCTGGCAGATCAGAATCAGAACTTGTGGAAAACATTGTTAAAGATGTTTTGAAGAAGCTGAAACATATGTCCTCAAGCGATTTTGATAGCTTGATTGGAATTGAATCACGCTTAGAAAGAGTTGAATCACTATTATGTTTTGGTATGTTAAATGTTCGTTTTGTTGGAATTTGGGGTATGGGTGGTATAGGTAAAACAACCATTGCACGAGCTTTGTTTGATCGTATCGCCAGTCAATTTGAAGGCTGCTGCTTTCTTGCAAATGTAAGAGAAGAATCAGCTAAATATGGATTGAATCGTTTACAAGAAGAAGTTCTTTTCAAAATACTAGAGGATGGAGATCCAACTACAAGTGCTCCTAGTTTAGGACTCACTTTTACAAAGAACAGACTTCGCCGCAAAAAGGTTCTTATTGTTCTAGATGATGTAGACAATTCACAGCAGTTAAAATTTTTAGCTGGAGATCATAGTTGGTTTGGTCATGGAAGTAGAATCATTATAACATCAAGAGATCAACAAGTGCTCAAGACATGTGTTGATGAAATGTATAAGCTTGAGGAATTAAATTATCACGAGTCTCTTCAACTCTTCAGTTTAAATGCCTTTAAGCAAAACCATCCTACTGAAAATTATATGGAGCTGTCAAGTCGGGTGATATATTATGCTCAAGGCATTCCATTGGCTCTTAAAGTTTTGGGTTGCTTTCTATTTGGAAGGAGTAAGCGAGATTGGGAAAGTGCATTAAATAAACTTGAAAAGTATCCGAACATGGACATCCAAAATGTATTGAGAATAAGTTATGATGGACTTGATGACGAAGAGAAAGAAATATTTCTTGATATTGCATGTTTCTTCAAAGGGGAGGATAAAGATCGTTTAACAACTATATTAGATGGTTGTGGCTTTTGCACAGAAATTGGAATAAGTGTTCTCATCGACAAGTGTCTCATAACTATTGTGAGCAATCTGTTACTAATGCATGATCTCATACAAGAGATGGGTTGGGATATTGTTCGCCAAGAATCCAGAAAAGAGCCTGGCAAACGCAGCAGGTTGTGGGATCCTCAGGATATATTTAACTTATTCAAGAAAAATACAGTAAGAGCTGAATGCACTGAAGTCCTCCATGGTTATGCAATAGCTGCTTAATCACAGTATGATTTACATATACTATACTTTTTATTCTCAAAATTTACTATGCTAAACTAATGCTCTGTTTTGTTATCAGGGGACTCAATCGGTTGAAGGCATATTCCTTGACTTGTCAAAAGTAAGTGAGCTACACTTAAATTCCGATGCCTTCACGAGGCTGCATAAACTTAGGCTTCTTAAAGTATATAGCTCCTACTATGGCAAAGGCGAAATAGAAGATGATAAGGTGCACCTTTGTCAAGACCTTGAATTTCTTTCTGATGAGCTGAGATATCTCCATTGGCATAGATACCCTTTAAGATCCTTGCCATGTAAGTTTAACCCAGGGAACCTTGTTGAGCTTGACATGCATCACAGCAATGTTGAATATCTTTGGAAGGAAAAACAGGTGAATATGATATTTATGTATGTTTCTTTGTTTCGCACATATTTTAGAATTTGTGGATGTTAATTCATTCAGCCATTTCTGTTTTGTTGCAGCATCTTGTAAATTTAAGACGGATTGATCTCAGTTACTCTCAGCACTTAACGGAGATCCCTGACCTCACATTGGCTCCGAACCTTGAGGTTATTACTCTAGATGGTTGTTCCCATCTCACCAAGTTTCCTGGGATTTCATGGAACATAAAGAAGCTGGATTTAGGCCATACTGCAATTGAAGAGGTTCCCTCAGCCATTGAGTGTCTTAATAACCTTGACTCTCTATCACTAATCAACTGCAACAGGCTAAAGAATCTTCCAAGGAGTATTCAGAATTTGACGTCTCTTATGAAACTTGATCTCCATGGTTGTTCAAGCATCACTGAGTTCCCAGAGGTTTCAGGAGATATAAAGTATTTGTATTTGAATGAGACTGCAATTCAAGAATTACCATCTTCAGTTGAGTGTCTTACTAAGCTAAATACATTGAGTCTTGGAAATTGCACAAGCCTAGAAAGTGTTCCAAGTGGCATTTTTAAGCTGAAATGTATTGAAGTTCTTTGTCTCTTTGGCTGTTCAAAATTGGAGAATTTACCTGAAATCTCAGAGTCTATGGAAAAGTTAGAGACACTTGAGTTAGAAGGAACTGCCATAAAAGAGTTACCTTACTCAATATAACATCTTACTCAGCTTTCTTTTTTGCACTTGGGGAACTGCAAAAACCTTACAAGTTTGCCAAATAACTTCTTTCAGTTGACATCACTTTCATCTCTTGATCTTTCTGGTTTGTCTGGTATTGAGAAATTGCTGGACAACTTGCCATTATCCCTATTTTCAGGTTTGTGCTCTTTAGTTGAATTAGATCTCAGTGACTGCAACCTGATAGAATTGCCAAGTGCTCTCAGTTGCTTATCCTCCTTAGAATATTTAAATCTAAATGGAAACAATTTTGAGAGCCTGAGCCTCAAACCATTTTCTCATATTAAAAGCCTTGACGTTAGCATTGCGAGCGACTTCAATCTATACTAGAGTTTCCATCTCCATCGCATCTGACAGATTTCCAGGCACATGACTGCTTATCACTCAAAACTATACCAAATTCAATGAATTTAGCCTTTACAGCAGACTGGAATTCCCAGCAGAGTTTCACATTTTCCAATTGCTTCAATCTGACTGAAGATGCTCAAAGAAATATTCTTGCTGATGCAGAACTTCGAATACAGGTTATGGCAACTAATGCACGGGAGACTGCATCAATGGAAGATTATTTGGAGGTACCTGTCTTTCACTCTCTGATGTTGAGTTCTATAATTTTCTCTTGCCTTAAATGTTAAGACAAATATTTTCATGGTACAGTGGTATTGGCTAGGAGCTTCAGTCAGTATTTGTTTCCCTGGAAATGAAATTCCAGGGTGGTTCAGCCATCAAAATGTGGGATCTTCAGTAACAATGGAACTCCCTCAACATTGGTCTAGCAGTAAGTTCTTAGGCTTTGCTCTGTGTGTTGTAGTTACATTCGACAACTACCATGATTACATGAATTTCAATGTCGAATGCAAATGCAAATTTGAAACCAATGATGGTGACAAGCATAACATTGATTGTGGTCTGAATGGCTTAAAAGCTCAATACAAATCCAGATCTCTTTCGTCTGATCATGTATTCCTGTTTTTCCATGAGCGATTGTATGCTATGCTGGTTCAAAGAGATGATCAGGACCATTTCTTCAGTATGTACCAATCCTGCCATAAGGTTTTGTTTGAATTCTTACCAGTAGATGACAACCAGTTGCCCCTACTGAATTGCAAGGTGAAGAAGTGTGGGGTCTGCATACTGAACTTGAAAGAGGAGGATGCAGAAATTTTTGACAGCTCCAACGTAGATGAACATGTTGAAAGTGGAAGTGATAGTAACTCCAATCATGAGGTACAAGAGGATCCAAACTCCCAAACATTGAAAGAAAAGGAAACCAATTTAGAGGCTAATGCCTTCTGGTTGGCTCAAGGCAGAGCCAAGCTATTATGTATGAACTTCTTGGTTGGAGTGGCTGTGGTTTTATTTCTGCGGTATTTCCTGGCGTTGTAACTGTTAATGGTTTCAAAAAGCTCTTGGTCTCTTTGCTGCAATAAGCCCTGCAGATGTTGGGGCTAATTAACTTTGGAGAAACATGTATCTATAATTTATTAAATTCTTCAGTATCTTATATATGCAAGAAACACAGATTGGTTTAATTATGTGTTTTATGGATTTTATGATATGACAAATGCAAATTCACTGAATTGGATATGAATACTCACAATTTATCTTAATAAATTTACCACTCCTTACTATAACAAACTTCTAAAATAAACTTTAGAAACCCTATATACAAACTCTTTCTAAGTAAACACATTATATTAGCTTGCGATAAGAGAAAAATTCGTTTGAGATGCCTACTGCTACTAAATCTAATATATATGGTGCTCACTCACTATCCGCATAGTAGGTCTAAATTCTGGATTCTTGTCTAAGCATAAAAGGGCCACCTCCAGGATACATTTCAGCTTGTCCTGAACTTCAAGCGATGGTGCTGGAAGCCTAGAGTCTAACACATCACTAAGCTGTATAGGCATATTGGGAGGCACATTAGATGAAAATAAGGAAAGAAAATCTCCTGGATGATTCCCTTTGATCACTTCCAATGTTAAAACTCCAAAGCTATACACATCGCACTTTTCGGTTATCTTCCTCGTGTAAGCAAACTCTGCAAAATAAAATATTTAAATATATCTAAGTGAGTGAATATCATTTCTAATTTTCTATAGTCCTCCCTTGCGGATGCCCACATTATGTTTAAAGACAAACATCAATAGTTGACATTGGAAATAATATTAGTTAGGATCAACTAACAATTAGTTGGTGCCAACTAATATTAAAAAACAAACCCCTATTTGTTTAGCTTTTCAAACTCTTTCTATTCTACTATTCTATACTAAACAGTGAAAAATGTGTTCGTTTTAATATTAACTATTCAATTCTATTTTATTCAACTCAAAACATTTAACAATTATCTTTCACAAACAAAGTTTATAAATTAACAAAAACACCCCCACCCACCCAAGCCACAGTCGCCCGCCAGCAACCAGCGCCGGCCGTCAGAATCGGAACGACGCATGATCGGGGGATCTGGCCAATCATATGCTGATTTGACGTTTTCGGCCAGATCCACCATGTATCTAGCCAGAAACGGCCAAATCTACAGTCAGAGATCTAGCCATTGACTACCATATTTTACCAAATCTGGCCGTTGATGACGACTAGATTATGGCTTTAGATCTGGCCGTTTCCAGCCAGATACACGGTGGATCTAGCCAGAAATTCCAAATCAATGCTTAACCGGCCAGATCCAACTGATCTTGTGCCATTCCAGTGACCGCTGGCCACAGTCCGGCAATGGTGGCCAACTGTCGGCAGTCAGTTGGATGGGTGGAGGTGTTTTTGTTAATTTATAAAACTTTTATTGTTACAGGGTGTTTTTGTTAACACTTAAAATTTTGTTTTTGTAACATTAGCCAACATTAGTGAACAAGGCCGGATTTAAAAAAAAAAAAAAAAAAAGAAAAAAAATTTTCAACAACCATTATATGAAAATAATAATAATAATAATATAAGGTTAAAAGGAATAAACAAGATACCTGGTGCAATATATCCATATGTGCCAGCAAGCTCACTCCAGTTTGATGACTCTTGTTTGAGAAACTTGGCAGTTCCAAAGTCTGAAACATGAGCTTCATATTCTTGATCCAATATCACATTCTTGCTTGATATGTCTCGATGGACAACTGGTGGGCAACAATCATGATGCATGTAAGATAATGCATGTGCTACTCCTTTTATAACATTTATTCTCTTCCTCCAATCTAGTTCTACGGCTGTATTAGTGCTCTTCAAGATGTCGGCCAAGCTACCTCTTTCAAGGTACTCATATACTAAAATTGAATATCGAGTATATGAACAAAACCCATAAAATTTGACGATGTTTCGATGTCGTAACTCTGTTAATGCCTTTATTTCATTGAAGAACTCTTTTCGATTCGATAACTGATCAGTATAGAGAGAGTGCATTTTTTTTACCGCTCTAACATCCCCCGACGGCAACTCTGCTTTGTAAACAATTCCAGATCCACCTTCTCCAATACAATTCGCAACATCAAAGTTATTAGTTGCCCTTATGATATCTTCATATGCCATTCCATCAGAAGTTGACAATTCACCTCTTTCTTTTTCTGAGTCTGTCTTCTTTCTAAGAAAACTACAGATTCCAATCCCCACAATTGATAAGGCAATTGCTCCAACTGCAAAAAGGATAATCTCCCCTTTTCCTAAAACTTGTTTTTTTGGTGTGACGGATTTGCAAGGTTTCAATCCACTAGCATTACCACACAGTCCTCTGTTCCCTTGTAATGTTTCTGCAGGAGCATCTCGGAATACTTTGGTGTTAGGAACTGGACCCTGTAAATCATTATCAGATATGTCAATGCTTGACAAACCATTCATTTCTTGGAAACAATGTGGTATGAAACCAAGGAGATTATTGTGGGAGAGATTTAACTTCTCCACGCTTTCTAGATTGCAGATTTGTGATGATATCTCTCCTCTCAGCAAGTTGTTACTCAAATCGAGCTCAGATAGATGAGTTAGATTCCCCAACTGACCTGGAATTTCTTGGCTAAATTGATTGCTTCCCAAGTTCAAGTAATGCAATTTCAATAAGGAAGCTAAACTTCCAGGGATTGAGTTACTCAATTTATTTGCGGATAAATCAAGGTACTCAAGTTCGGTAAGCAATCCAAGTTCAACAGGTATACCACCAGAAAGCTGATTTCCATTCAATGTCAAGTTAGTTAGAGAAGTCAACTTGCCAAGCTCTTTTGGAATCTCTCCAACTAAATGATTCCGAGAAAAATCAAGTTCATGTAGCTGAGGTGCGTCTCCCATTTCAGGCGGTATGCTCCCTGTAATGTGATTTCCTGCAATCTTTAGGGTGCCCAATTGTGGACACTTTGCCCAAATAGATAAGATTTCACCGTAAAATTTATTGTTGCTGAGATCTAATAACTCAATATTAGGATACATGCCAAAATCTTCAGATATATTTCCATTCAGCTGGTTATTTTCAAAGCGGGCTCTAACCAGGCTTGTGCAATTTCGTAGGCTTTTTGGGATTGGACCTACAAAATTGTTGTCACGAACAGAAAAGTTTTCTAGTACTCTAGTTTGGCAAATATTTTGCGGCAAAAAGCCAGTGAAATGGTTATCAAACAACAAAAGTTTAACCAACTTCGTCAAATTTCCGATTTCTTGAGGAATGGAACCGGAAAGCTCGTTACCACGGAGATATAACAATACTAAGTTACTCAGATTACCAAAAGAACTAGGAACGAAGCCAATCAGTCTGTTTAAGCTCAACCCGAGAGTAGAAAGAGATTTTAAGTATCCTATCTCATGGGGAATGTGACCAGAAAGTTTATTGTTTCGAAGAAGCAAAACTTTTATGTTGCTCAAATTACCCAGGGTGGGAGGAATAATGCCAGTAAGTTGATTTTTGCTTAACCATAGATGGGAAAGGAACTTCAAATTTCCTACCTCCTTAGGAATGGAGCCATTTAATTGATTCTCAGCTAGATGAAAGACCTCCAAATTTAACAGGAGGCCAATTTCTGGTGGGATTTTCCCAGAAAACTGATTATTCGACAAATCAAGGTACTGGAGTTTGGAGAGGTTTCCAATTTGAGGTGGAATGGTACCAAAGAGGTGGTTACTGCTAAGATCAAGATAAGCAAGATGCGGAAACGAAGAGAACAAAAATGAGTGAAGCTTACCTTCTAAGCTTGTATTAATGAGCTGAATACTTTTGATATTTCCCTTATGATTGCAAGAAATTCCTGACCAACTACATGGGCTAATTTCGGTCGCATTTGCAGGAGAAAGGGTCCAGGATAGCAAGAGAGATCGGTTCCAGTTTTCAAGACTGGCTTTCCATATGATAAGAGCATGTGCTTCTTCACTAGAATCAGAAGCAACATCGAGTAAAGAATGTGACACAGCAAACAGAACTAGCAAGACAAGTTGGAACTCCATTGTTATGTTATTTACTGTGTGATGAAGATCAACTTTGTGAGTTTTAAACTCACTTTTTAGTTTGAAAGTCAAAGAAGATAGCTAAGTTTATCTACTGAACCTTACCTAACTTGAGGCTGTATGGCTATTTGTTTACCCATTACCATTAGTAAGATTATTTGTTTACCTACTCGTAAGACATAGGGTGCGCATTGGTAAAGGGTAGAACCGATCCACCGGTTTCGGGTAGGAACCAAAGCTGGCTCCATTGGGATCCAATTCTACTTCTGGAAAATTATAGAAAACGGAATTCCTGAATCTGGTTCCAGTTAGTACAATGCTGGATATGGGAACTGAAACCAGAACTAGAACCAAGGTCTTGATATCCGGGTAGGAATTATGGCTGAATTGTGAATTTTGTAAACTATTGGAAGTGTATTTATAATTTTTTTTCAAATATGGGTAATTGAAATTAACCAAGGTACAAGAACAGAACAAAATATATCCAGTTCTGGTTTCTTAAAAACATGTTTGAGTACCGAAAGACTTATTACTCCTATAAATATCACTGTTTTAAAACTCGAACTAGATCGGTTTGATCCTAGTATATCTAAATCTAGTTATAGCAATTGAATCGGATTAACCCGGGTTTAAATTGACAGAATGGTACCGAATCGTCGGTTCAATCATTGAGTCAGAGAACCATGGCTAAAAGAAATCCTAATTCCTAAAACTAAAATCCCTAAATTCTATTCTTCAATTTCATATCTTCATCTTCAATTTATTAACCTGCCTTTAATCTAAATCTACAAAACACAATCAAAAATACATTATAAAACATCATTAATTACAATACTTCAATCTCCAAATTCTCCAAATCCAATTTCTTAAAAAAAATTAATTATAAACTGAAGAAATAAAAAAAATCGAAGCTTCATACTATGGCCAAACATTAGATATGGGAAGTGGTGGCAAGATTCAACCACTGTCCAGGAGCAATTGGAGGAGATAGAGAAAGAGAAAGAGAAATAAGGAATCCGAGTATATTCTAAACACGATTATAGTAATTGGATTGGATTGACTCAAGGTTAAACTGTCAAAACAGTGCCGAATCGACAGTTCAACCATTGGGTCAATGAATAGGTGGCTAAACTAAAATCCTAATTCCTAAAACTAAAATCCCTTAATTCTATTCTTCAATTTATCTTCATCTACAATTTCAATTTTCAGTTCTTGATCTTCACTCCTTTGAATATTCTAATCTTCAATTTCATTTATGTTATATTGTCATTTGGATTTTGGATTTAAAGGGAATTATTTTGGAAATTTATCAGAATTTTAAAATTTTATTATGTCATGTTGACATCATCGATACAACTAGCCAAATCCAACGGGTTGTTGTACCGGTGGACCTGAGAACTAACCCTTTAGGGTCAATTCCTCATCCGGGTCTTACAACATTGATAAATAGGAGTGTCTTAATAACCTTGACTCTCTATCACTAATCAACTGCACCACGCTAAAGAATCTTCCAAGGAGTATTCAGAATTTGACGTCTCTTATGAACCTTGATCTCCGTGGTTGTTCAAGCATCACTGAGTTCCCAGAGGTTTTAGGAGATAAAGTATTTATGTTTGAATGAGACTGCAATTCAAGAATTACCATCTTCAGTTGAGTGTCTTACTGAACTAAATACATTGAGTCCTGGAAATTGCACAAGCCTAGAAAGTGTTCCAAGTGGCATTTTNTCTTTTTGGTATAATCAATACTATGTTTGTATAGACAACAGGGATGATAGCATCAGAAACCTGATGACAAAACGTCCAGAATGCCGCATAGGCCCTATACCCCGTTTTACTTAGTGTTTTCAACCACTGGTAATGGGTCTCGATTGTGGGTGAATTGAGCACTTGTTTTTGAGCGTTTTATTTTTGGTATAATCAATACTATGTTTGCATAGAGAATAGGGTCAATGTTGTCGAAAGCATGATGGCAAAACAACCAGAACGTCGTATAGCCTTTACACCCCGTTTTACTCAGTTTTTTCAGCCAACAGTAATGGGTCTCGATTGTGGGTGAATCGAGCACTAGTTTTTGAGCATTTTCTTTTTGGTATAATCAATACTATGTTCTCATAGACAACAGGGGTGATAGCATCGGAAACCTGATGACAAAACGACCAAAAAGCCGCATAGGCCCTATACCACGTTTTACTCAATTTTTTCAGCCACCAGTAATGGGTTTCGATTGTGGTTGAATCGAGCACTAGTTTTTGAGCGTTTTCTTTTTGGTATAATCAATACTATGTTTGCATAGACAACATGGATGACAGAATCAGAAACCTGATAACAAAACGACCAGAATGCCGCGTAGGCCCTATACCTCGTTTTACTCAGATTTTTCAGCCACCAGTAATGGAACTCGATTGTGGGTGAATCGAGCACTTTTTTTTGAGCGTTTTACTATCAATACTATGTCTGCATAGAGAATAGGGTCAATCATTTCAAAAGCATGATGGCAAACCAACTAGAACATCGTATAGGCCCTATACCCCGTTTTACTCAGTTTTTTCAGCCACCAGTAATGGGTCTCGATTGTGGGTGAATCGAGCACTATTTTTTGAGCGTTTTCTTTTTGGTATAATCAATACTATGTTTGTACAGACAACAGGGATGATAGCATCAGAAACCTGATAACAAAACGACCAGAATGCCGCGTAGGCCCTATACCCTGTTTTACTTAGATTTTTCAGCCACCAGTAATGGAACTCGATTGTGGGTGAATCGAGCACCTTTTTTTGAGCGTTTTACTATCAATACTATGTTTGCATAGAGAATAGGGTCAATCTTGTCAAAAGCATGATGGCAAACCAACTAGAACATCGTATAGGCCCTATACCCCGTTTTACTCAGTTTTTTTAGCCACCAGTAATGGGTCTCGATTGTGGGTGAATCCAGTGCTAGTTTTTGAGCATTTTCTTTTTGGTATAATCAATACTCTATTTGCATAGAGAATAGGGTCAATCTTGTCGAAAGGATGGTTGCAAAATAACCAGAACGTCGTATAGGCCCTATACCCTGTTTTACTCAGTTTTTTCAGCCACTAGTAATGGGTCACAATTGTGGTTGAATCGAGCACTAGTTTATGAGCGTTTTCTTTTTGGTATAATCAATACTATGTTTGCGTAGACAACAGGGATGATAGCATCAGAAACATGATGACCAAATGATCAGAATGCCGCATAGGCCCTATACCGCATTTTCCTCAGTTTTTTCAGCCACCAGTAATAGGTCTCGATTGTGGGTGAATTGAGCACTAGTTTTTGAGTGTTTTCTTTTTGGTATAATCGATATTATGTTTGCATAGACAACAGGGATGATACCATCAGAAACATGATGACAAAATGACCAGAATGCCGCATAGGCCCTATACCGCGTTTTACTCAGTTTTTTCAGCCTCCAATAATGGGTCTCGATTGTGGATGAATTGAGCACTAGTTTTTGAGCGTTTGCATTTTGGTATAATCAATACTATGTTTCCATAGACAACAGGGATGATAGCATCAGAAACCTGATAACAAAACGACCAGAATGCCGCGTAGGCCCTATACCCCGTTTTACTCGGTTTTTTCAGCTACTAGTAATGGGTCTCGATTGTCGGTGAATCGAGCACTTGTTTTTTAGCGTTTTATTTTTGTTATAATCAATACTATGTTTGCATAGAGAATAGGGTCAATCTTGTCGAAACATGATGGCAAAACAACCAGAACGTCGTATAGGCCCTGTACCCCGTTTTACTCAATTTTTTCAGCCACTAGTAATGGGTCACGATTGTGGTTGAATCGAGCGCTAGTTTTTGACCGTTTTCTTTTCGGTATAATCAATACTATGTTTGTATAGACAACAGGGATGATAGCATCAGAAACCCGATGACCAAACGACTAGAATAACGCATAGGCCCTATACCCCATTTTACTCAGTTTTTTCAGCCACCGGTAATGGGTCTCGATTGTGGGCGAATCGAGCACTAGTTTTTGAGCGTTTTCTTTTTGGTATAATAAATACTATGTTTGCATAGACAACAGGAATGATAGCATCAGAAACCTGATGAAAAAACGACCAGAATGCCGCATAGGCCCTATACCCCGTTTTACTCAGTTTTTTCACCCACCAGTAATGGGTCACGATTGTGGTTGAATCGAGCACTAGTTTTTGAGCGTTTTCTTTTTGGTATAATCAATACTATGTTTGCATAGACAACAGGGATGATAGCATCAGAAACCTAATGACAAAATGACCAGAATGCCGCATAGGCCCTATACCCCGTTTTACATAGTTTTTTCAACCACCAATAATAGGTCTCGATTGTTGGTGAATCGAGGACTAGTATTTGAGCGTTTTCTTTTTGGTATAACCAATACTATGTTTGCATGGACAACAGGGATGATAGCATCAGAAACCTGATCACAAAACAACCAGAATGCCGCATAGGCCCTATACCCCGTTTTACTCAATTTTTTCAGCCACCAGTAACTGGTGTCGATTGTGGGTGAATCGAGCACTAGTTTTTGAGCGATTTCCTTTTGGTATAATCAATGCTATGTTTTCATGGACAACAGGGTCAATCTTGTAAATAACTTGATGGCAAAACCACCGGAAAGCTGTATAGGCCGTATACCCCGTTTTGCTCAGTTTTTTGAGCCACCAGTAATGGGCATCGATTGTGGGTGAATCGAGCGCTATTTTTTTAGCGTTCGCTTTTTGGTATAATCAATACTATGTTTTCATAGAAAACAGGGATGATAGCATCAAAAACCTGATGACAAAACGACCAGAAAGCCGCATAGGCCCTATACCACGTTTTACTCAGTTTTTTCAGCCACCAGTAATGGGTTTCGATTGTGGTTGAATCGAGCACTAGTTTTTGAGCGTTTTCTTTTTAGTATAATCAATACTATGTTTGCATAGAAAACAGGGATGATAGCATCAGAACCCTTATGACAATACGACCAGATTACCGCA